TCAAGTGGGCTCTCCATAATTACAGACATGAGGCTGGCGCATGCAGCTCAAGTGGTTTTCCATTTTCCAGCTAAAAGGACATGGGAACTTTCTTGCCTATATGCATCCGTCGAGAACGGGGCTAAACGAAAGAATATGGCATGTCCTTTATGAAATCCGATACTTTCCCTTTGCAAGGAGAAAGCAAAGTACGAACCTGAGACGTGGGCGAGCTCCTTACCTGCCAGCCGGTTCCGATGGTCTCTCAAAAATATGACAAAAATGTGTTTTTTTAAGGGCCAGACACTCGACTCGACTCTTTGCCTGACAATGGGAAATGTCGCGATCCTCGACTGGCCACTTAGCCGGTTCCTGTTTCGCTGGAACCTCAATCCCTGAACAGGATACTAATGCTCTTCTTTTTTTTTCGTTAGGTTGAAAAACCCATTTCATTTTAAAACCAGCTGTGCGCTGCTGCTTATTATTTTGTTTTTTTGTTTACGGCCTTATCAACCGATAAGCAAATGTGATTCATACGAATGCAAAAGGTGGTTTCGGCTGTTCCTAAAATAATCTCCACCTCACCCTCTCCTAATCGTGAAAAATAATTACCAAATTAAAGTGAACTGCGTTCACGGTCACGTCCATTGATCGTATCGCGGGCATAATATGTTCAAGTTTACAGCCGCAATGAATCCTACAGTCTCATTATTTATGTTAATTTATCCCCAGCTCAGATACATTTTACATTGCACAATTCCCACAGGATCGAACCAGTTCTATAAAGACTTGTAACATTTTGTTCGTGGATTCCGAACCGATCGAGGCAATACACTACGCGAAATCAAATTATTAAAGTAATTGCTGCTTTGATAAGGTTAGTCACTTAAACCGAAAATAATTGCTAAATCATTTCAAAAGGTTAATCATTAAAATATTTTGCCATTATTATAAAAATAATAATAATCATGATTTAATTGACAATATTAAAAACAAATAACGGCAGGTTAACAGCCCAAAGGTGTACAAAGTCAAAAATACCAAGGCATTTAAATATATTATTGTAGATAACGTTTATTTTTAATATAATAATAAATTAAAAATTCATTTCGAATCTAATTCATTCATCATTAGCTAACATAAAAGGTAAATAATTAAAAAGTCCACCCAATAACTCTAGTTTATGCCTGAAATGCGGAGTTTTTCCAACCTCTGAGCCCTTTTGTAATAAGCCTTACACAGCGACCGATTTGGCCATATATCATACCCCCGAAAACAAGGCTGCAACTGCAATGAGCCAAACTTATAATTTATAAGCTGGTTTCCTTGTTCCAAGCGCAAAACACCTGCACGGGTCGACTATCCCCTTCTCCCTTTTTCCCGCTCGCTATCTCGTTCTGTGTTGCGCATGCGCAGCCGAGTACTTCTACTTTTTCAGAGTTTAGCTTGGCGGCTCTTGTTTTTTTTTTAGCTTTTTGCATGAAATAAAATCTCACGGTTCAGATGCGTACAGAGTTGGCGAAAAAAAAGACAAAGAGCGAGAAGGGGAGCAGGTGGTAGGAAGTCTGGGCAAAAACAAAACAAAAACCCAGCAAAACCAGCCATAAGTCGGTCGCAGAGGGGCGACATGCATGTGAGTTCGTTTTTTCTCTTTCGCAAAACTGGTTTCTGCAAGCTCTCGAGACGAGCCAGCCATAGAACCGAGCTGAACATTTGAATAAACACCGCTGCAGCGCCAAAAGTTGTTGTCCTTTTTAACGAGGCAATCCGACGTCTCCGAATCCGAGTCCGAATCTGACTCGAAATCTTTACCTGTACCTGTATCTGTGTGTCTGTACTTCATTCATATTTCGAGATGCTTAATGGACTCTACCTGGTACCCACACACGCACAGGTAACCAACAGGTAGAAAAGGTCTTTCGCTGTGTGTGTGTTTGCACTGCTCATGGGAAATCACTGCTCAGGGGAAACCTGTTGTTCTGCCCTATCCTATAACCAGAACGAAGGCGAAAAAGAAGCAGAATCCGAATCTGAATCTGAACAGATGCACGATAAGCGGAGGGATCGAGAGATACGGATAGGCACTCACTTCCTCCCCGGCCTTCTTCACTTCTTCTTGCTGAATGAATCGAAGCCCTTTTATCAATCTTTGTCCAAGGGCCCCCTTTGTCCCGCACCCATGAATGATGTCTTGGGCACAGAGCACCTTGCCATTTCCATCGGTATCTGCTGTTCTGCTATCGTAGATACAAATACGAGTATCTCATGCTGATACGCAGAACTCGGCACAGTTATTGTTCAGCGCATCTGCCCTACATCCATTTCCAGCAACATTTATATTTATATTATCTACAAAACATTTTAAGAAATTGCTCCCTCTAAATTGTATTTACATTAATCATAAAAGATTTCGGTTTAAAAACCTAAGATAAACCTTCTTGGGCTTCTAAGCATTTCCATATATTAACAAAGTTCATACTTATGCTTGAACTACTATATAATTTCTGTAACTAGAGCAAAATTTATACTTATATAATCTACAAAACATTTTTAAAATAGCTCCCTCTAAATGGTATTTACTTTAATCCTAAAAGATTTAGATTTCAAAACTTAAAATAGTCCTCCTGAGCTTCCAAGCATTTCCAAATATTAGCGAAATCTTACTTATCCCTTAAAAAACTATATTATTTCTGTAACTCGAGGTTCTGCAATTGCAATTTTTAGTTGACTTAATGTTTACTTTACTTTAACCAGTTGGAGGGTCGAGTTACAGAAGCTCTACTGTGTGCTGGAAAACAGCTTACCTTTCATATTCCCATTATCCACATAGCCGGAATTGCTGACCGATGCGTTGGTGATGACTGCCAAACAGCCGAGGATCAGCACCACCGGCAGAATGGAGCTGAGGGGCCACGATCCTCGCAAAATCCTCATGATGCTGATGTTGATGATAGACCCGATTCCGGGGCGATTTGCTTATTTTCACCAACTGTACAAACACGCGAATCGCAGCAGATTTTGTTTGTTTACGTCGATTGAATTTTTTGGGGGTGGAGGGTTGTGGGGGTTTTATGGGGTGGTGCCTATTCAAGCGTGGCTGACGCTCCTCCTTGCCCCATCTCAGAAAGCCAGACTTTGGCCGGCGCTTTATAACGAATTTTCTACTTTACTTTTTTTTGACCCGATGGTCGGCTTTTTTCACTCGCGAAATGAGCATGCAAATTGTAATGTGGCAAAAAAACAGATAACGCAAATGATCGCGCGGGGGCGATGATTATAAAAAAGCTAAAGCCAGCTAACATTCACTAACACACACGCACACACTGTTGGCCAAAAAGCTTTGCCTTTGTTGTACAATGAAAACAATTGTGATTCCTTTAGAATTGCACTTGATTATTGCTATTTTTTTATAAAATATGATTTATTTTATAATTTAATTTTTGTTATATATTATATTAAGTTGATATTAAGCCCGGCGATATTTCAAACACGACAGCGTTGTTTATTGTGATATTTTATGAGGTTTTAGAATGGAAACTGGCACACCGGCAGCGCGTTTTCAAATCGGTCTTTCAAATTTACAGAGTGGCTGTTGCGGCTTCCTTATATAGCCACTGGAAGAAACGGTTATGAACCGTTTGAAACCGTTTCGCTCAGAGAGCTATATTCTCTCTCTCATGCGATACTCACCTATCGCGTACGCAGACCGTGGTTGCAGTCCCCACTCCTGAATTAGAAAAGACACAAGCCAGATTTTAAAATTTCCTGAACGGGGGGATTCTAGCGACCTCTTGCGGAAGTTGACTGAAACACTTGCACGTTTTCTAACAGTGGCACAGCATCTTAACATTTCTGTTATACAAGTGATGCTACCAGAGCGGGAAAATTATGAAACCTATTTATGGAAGAGAAAGAACACATGGCGCCTTGATTAAAAAATACTGGGTATACTAGAGTCGTCGGCAAGTATGTAACAGGCAGAAGGAATAGTTTCCGACCCCATAAAGTATATATATTCTTGATCAGGATCACTGGTCGAGTCGATCTTGCCATGTCCGTCTGTCTGTCCGGATGAACGCTGAGATCTCGGAAACTATAAGAGCTACAATACTGGGATGAGGCATGCAGATTCCTGAGATTCCGGCGCAGCGCAAGTTTGCTTCAGCAGGATGCCACGCCTACTCTAACGCCCACAAGCCGCCCAAAACTGTGGCTCCTACAGTTTTGAAGCTTGAGTAAAAATTTTAACTGAAATGTATTGTTCCCGTCAATAGCTATCGATTGGTTCAAAAATTTGCCACGACCACTCTAACGCCCATAACGCTTAAATCTGTCTACCGCCGGTAGGTGGCGCATTTCTATCTCGCTTTGCTGCTTGCATATCTCCATTTCCCTTTGGTCCCTTTAGCTGATTAACGGGTATGTGATAGTCGAGGTACTCGACTATAGCGTTCTTAATTGCTAATTTTTTTCCTTAGCTCATCTGAGTACCGCCCTGAAAAACAGACCCGAGGAAAAGCGTTAGCCGCGTATTTGCCTCGAGTTCACTACTATGGTTAGCTCCCGGTTTTACTTTTGATATGAAAAACATATCAAATTAATACGAAATCATATCAAATTAATATGATTTTGTATGATATTGATATAAATATGAGTTTTCTGAACTTATCAGAATCTGCATGCCAACATTCAAGCTTTTATAGTTTCCGAGATCTGAGCGTTCATACGGACGGACAAACAGACGGACAGATGCACGGGCATTGCTATTTGAATAGAGTCGTTCTAACTCTGATAAAATGTACTTTTAAAAATAGCAATGTACTACAACAATTCAAGGTTACCCAATCTTGAAAATGAATACTCAAATTAAGTAAATTTGACTCAAAGTGAGAAGTTTTAACAAAACGGAAACGTACATATGAACCCAGATTATAATAATAATCTTTTCCAAGAAATTGTGTGCCAAAAATCATATATAATTTCATTCCGCGTGAGTCAGTCATTCAGTCTTTGCGAAAACATGAAGCTCGTCATATCGGGAATTGTTTTTTTAGCCTGCCTTTTTAATTGCACTAAAGAAGGATCAGCACGCTTGCTTGATAGGAACTGTGGAATATCAACGATTGACGATATAGAGGCTCATATTCATGATGGTAAAATAACAACTATTAAGGAGAACCCATGGATGGTAAAGATATCAACAAAAAATGGTCTTTCGATTTCTTTTGTGTGTAGCGGCATACTCATCACAACACGTGGGTATTTATTTAAATTTGTTAATTTAATAGACGATTTATTCTATATTAATATACTCTTCCTTAAGGCTTAGTTCTTACGGCTGCGCACTGCATTTTTTTTAATGACACATATTTGCACTTGGGCGATTATTTAATCGTAGATCCCGAACCAGATTGCACTTCGGGTAAATGCATACCAAAGGCGTATAATTATAGAGCCGATATGAAATTTACTCACAGAAATTACAAAGGACGTCTTTCGAAGTTCGATATAGGTATGTATCGAATGGAGAAAGAGGTGACATATTCAGGTAAATGCATTAATCACCCACGTAAAACCTCCTTAATTAAACATTTGTTTCCCAGAATTTGTTCGACCTATATGTCTACTCGTCGATGATCAAATACTAGAAGCTAAAAAATTTAACATCACCGGCTGGGGTAAGACTAAGCAGGAGCAGCCAGTCAACCGGACTCTACAAACAGGGACAGTTTACCCACTGAATAGTTCCTTTTGTGATGCCAAGTATAGTACTAATACTGACCGATCCCAGATATGTGTCGGCAGTAACTCAATTGGCTCATGTGAAGGCGATTCTGGAGGCCCATTAAGTTCAGTGATGCCTTACGAAAATACGAACAGGACTTTTCTGTACGGTTTGGTTAGCTTTGGTTCTGATAAGTGCTCTAAGGAATCTGGATTGAGTGTTCTCACAAATGTAACCCATTACATGAAATGGATCGAGAATGTAATCAAGGCTTCCGAAATTCAGTATGCAGGTAACGGCGGCTTCTGGCATAAAATTGCTGAAGTCGCACTCTGATTCGGATGGCGGGACTTTAAGCTCCTTTTTGTAAATAAAATAAACTTACACAAGAAAGAAAGCTAACTTCGGCACGCCAAGGTTTCTATACCATTGCAGGTCGTTCCCGTGGAATCATTGTATGTACACAAACTAGAAACTAATTTCAAAAATTGTAAGATAAAATTCTGAAATATTAATATAAGTAGACTGCAATAAAAGCTAAAAAAAAAATAAGACACGCTCGAAAATCGCATGTGTAAACTCCATCTGAACTCCATCTGCAATATGTAATACACTAGTTTAAAGCCGAAATGCAGCAAGAAGGATGATGGTAGTTCTTGGAAGAGTTGGTCCCCTAGATAACTAAAAAGAAGTCAAAGTCTTTGAAAGTGGATTGTTAGTCATCTGTTGATATCGTAAAATCTCGAAAAAAAACACGACCTCTTATCGAGACTTTTAAGATACAGTCCATACGAACCGATCAAGCCATTCTCTCTACAATGTTTCTACTAATATTAAATATTTAATTCGCGTTTCTTCCCATTAAATTGTTTTTTATTAAATCCACATTTAATTTTATAAATAAAAATGCGATCAAGGGCGAGAAGACATCTGATGTTTTGATAATGAGATCACATTAAAGCCAGGGTCTAATAATAAAGAAATGCTTATATATGTATACAATGCTTATGTATATAAGTACATGTTTATTAAAAGCCTTGCTTTTTATTAGAATTATTGCCACGCGCGGATCCATGGGGTATTTCAAAACTCAGCTTTTTAAGATACGAAAAGTAAATGAAATACCATGCGATATGAAACACCCTGTTTTCTGATTATTTGATTTCATTTTTCTTCTTGTGGAGCTCCTTTAACGCCCCATGGACTCTTGGCTTATGCTTAGCAATGTCACCTTTATTCCGGGAAAAAAGAAAATTTTGGACAGCCTTAATAACAGCCAATGGACTTTGACCATTATGGGGATGTGAAACCTGTACATTTTTCCTATGGACAGGTCCGACTGGGCAATAATTTGACCCTAGGTGTAGTGTCATTTTCACCCACCTTTATTAAACTGACACTCAAAGATGTTTTTTCTGTGTAACTTTCCTTTTCAGAGTATGGGGAGCAATTTCGCGAAGTTGAACCAGGTTGGCGGAAACATGATAATTTTTAAAATATTTTTTAGAGTTTATTTATTATTTAGTTCGTTTTCGTGCCCCGGCTTTAAAATGGCTAGTTGCGCATCTCTATGAGGTGCTCATCGATAGTTTATACAAATTGATAAGCGAGTGGCACGGCACGCAAGGGTGTACGTTTATTTAAATATTATAAAATGAGCCAGTTCTCCGCTTTCAATGGCAACGACGAAGATGAAAACGAAGCTGAGCAGAAATATGCACACCTTATAAGTGGGTAATGTTGCCGTCAAAACCTTGACTGCTATTAAATCTCTAATTTGTCCCCACCAGATCTGGGAAATGCAAACCACTCCGCTGTGGAAAACAGTTCAGGAAGAGCCGGTCGTTGCAATTGGACGGAAGATGAGGTGGAGATCTTTCTGGGTATCATCCACCAACTGAAATTGCAGTCTCCACTGCGAAGACCCCGCAACGAGAAGGTCTTTAAGGTGATTTCACGGGAAATGGCCAAACGAAGCTGTCCCAAGAGGCCAAAGGAACTAAGGATCAAGTACCATCAGATGAGACGGCAGTATGTGAGGGCCAGGAACGGCGGGGAGCCATACGAGCACTTTCAGGCGGTCCACGAGTTGATGCAAGGAAACGGAGGCTCCGATCTGGAGGAACAGGAACTGGACAGCGACAGCGATGGCGATGGAGAGGCCGACGAGGACCAGTCCGGCATGATCTCGGAAAGCGAAGGAGATGGTAGGTGCAATCATAAATCTTATCTTATCTTAATAAACTACAATGTATTCGAAGCCAGTGTTCAAATCAAATCCTTGTCTCTGAGCTCTCCAGAGAATTCCAACCAAAAATTACATTTTGGTGTCTCTAAAACCTCTTAAACTTTCAAGCCTTTAAAAACCATCTGTTGGTTAATTTACCTTTGGTTGAACTGACTGGCTACTTATTAAAGCTTCTTAACCCTCATCTCACAGAACCCTCCACTCTTTCGCAGCTGCCCTTGATGCCTCCAGTTCGTCGATTAACATCGTTCCCCGTTGCAAGTGGGCCGAAGGCGAGGTGGACATCCTCCTAGACCTGATACACTCCCTGGGGCTGCGAACGGCTTTGCTGCGGAAGCGCAATGCCAAGGTCTTTAAGCTGCTGGCCAAGGAGATGGCAAAGCGCCATTGCCACAAGGGTGCGGACAAGCTGCGCATCAAGTTCCAGCTTCTACGACGGATGTACAACAAGGTCAAGAACGGCACAGGGGATACGTTCGAGCACTTTGAGGCTATGCGACAGGTCCTGGATCCCACCGAAGAAGAAACGGCAGCAGAGGCCGAGGCGGAAGCCAATCTCAGCAGCGCCAGCGACAGTGAGTTTAACGACAGTGACGAGGAGGAGGGTGAGGCCTCACAAAAAGGCGGAGGTAGTAGTTACCCAATTTGATTTATTGTTCAATTTGAATTAAACCCTTTGTTTCCTTAGCTCACTTTTGGACAGACGAAGAGGTGGACTCATTTCTACTGACCATCAGGGACAATAGTTTGATTCACGCCTTGGATGGCTCTAGGAAACGCAACTTTCAGACCCTGGCGCACATTTCCAATATCTTGGCCAAGCAGGCCATCAAACGCACTCCCCATCAGCTACGCAACAAGCTGCGATTGCTCTTCAAGCGGCATCGCGAGGCCAAGGAGCACGGCTTGGATAATGTGCGCATTTTGCCCCGCCACTTTGAACTCCTCGAGGAACTGATTCAGGCACCGCTGGAAAACAAAAAGAGCATCATCCCAAGACCCGTCCGCCACACCAAACCTGCCTTTTCCAAGCCACCAAGCAAATCAAATGTTCCGCTTGAGAGTGACAGTGAAAACTCCAGCTCCACCTGTGATCTTCTAAGAGCCGCTGCCGACAGCGAAGACTACGAGGATGCCATGGAGATGGAGGAACCAACGCCGATTGAGGCCCTTTCAGCCATCATAGATGGCCAAAAGCAACTGCTGTCCCAAATCAAATCCGCCAACGAGACTTTCCTGCGGCAGCAACGAGAACAGCAGCAGCAGTTCCTGCTTCAAGTAACCGATGTTATGCGCCGGGACCGGGAGGAAACTCTACGCTGTATCAGGGAAATGCTGCAACCGAAATAATTAAAACGCCACTCAAGCTTCTAAAACTTTTATTGAATTGAATTCGAAGTTATTGCAAAAAGTTTTCATTATTTATATATATTATATGTATGTATTCTATATTCATATCGTGTATGGTGTTCTTGTGGCCGTGTCATGTGTCTAGGGTTTTTTCTCATTCACTGTGAACAGAACTTTGGTTGGAGTTACTCGCAATTCGCAATTTTCTACGATTTATCTAGGTTTTTGTATAAGTATATTCGTAATTTTGAGAGATTTCTTTGTTATTTGATATGCTACATGTTTAGAGTTTTCGTTATTCTTGGGATTAAGTTAACAGTTGGATTTATATTGTTTGTTTTACAACAACTAAGCAAGCTCGTCATAAAATATGTGTTGCACTCCAAAAAAATAGAAGGTAGAGATAACTAAAATGCTTCTGCTGATCTGATCCGATCTGGCTTGATATATTATATATTATGTGTATGTTCGTTACGTTACGCTCAGGCACAAAGTGTAAATTACAAATATCTCTCCGCGTCTCGAAAACCATAGGGAAACACAATCAATCAACGGATTTTCATTTTGGTGGTTAATTATTGCATTCATTACCTAGCGGTGTGTGAGTTGCTTGTATCAATATCGTTATTATTCTTTTTGAGTTTCTGTGGCTTTGTGTCTCTTGGAGCACGGCTGAAAGCTTGGCTTGACTTGGCTGCTGCTGCTGCTGCTTTTTTATTTCTCAGTGTGTGGTAACAACATTAACAAGGTGTCTTTTGGAGATTATGTGGCGTGGCTCAGCAGTAACAATCTAAGAGCTGACCGGCTCGGGCAGTGGGTTCTCGGTGATGCGTATCTTGTTGCTTTGGGTGCCGTAGTACAGCGTGCCCGATGTGTCCGTGGTCACGTAGGCACGATTGCCATTTCCGGTTACGGCGCCGCTGCCGCTGCCACTTCCGTTTCCGTTCTCCAGATCCAGGTCCTCATCGTCGCCGCTGCGATTATCCGCGTTGTTATTGTCCGCCTGGCCAGCCCCTGTGCTGGTGGTGCAATTGATGGCCGTCTCCCGGAGCCGATTGCCCACCCGGAGGCTCAGCTGCCGCTGGCGATCCCGCTCCCTTTCCCGCTCGCGATCACGCTCCTCCATCGCCTGCTGCTGCTGCTCCCGGAAGTTGGCAAAGAAGATTGAGGAGTAGGTGGAGTACTTAGTTCCACAAGGCGAACTCGCTGGCGTGGACAGCGGCGTTGCTGTGGCAGTTTGTTAAGTGGTTGTTGTTTTGGGGGGAAGGTAGTAGTAGTTTGGCTTTTGTTATTTACGTTATGTTACTTGAGAACATGTAAGTTGTTGGTTCTTGTTCTTGATGGGTGTTTTTCTTTATACACTTTCTAAAAGGCTTGCCTGCTGTTTTTGAGATGTATGTCTGTGTGTGGTGTCTGTTTGATTGCATGGCTGCGGTCTAAATAAATGTAGCAAGGATTTTGGAATCTCAGTAAAAAAAAAATGAAAAGCCCTATCTAATAAGTTTTTGTTATTTTAAATTAAAGAAATATGAAACTGGAAGGCAAACGCCCTTGACTTAAAGCGGACTTACATAGCTACTAAAATCTCAATTGAATTTTATTCTTTCTCTGTTTTTTCATCTCAGCTATTGGACAAGATTTCCTAACCTGAATACAAAATATTTGGTCCGTTTAGTAAAAAAGTTTCGTACCAAAAGGATACACTGTTCAGTCCTCCAAGGTAATATTTAAGAATCTATTTACTTAAATTTTTGAATGAACACTTTAGAATCTTCTTAATCTCCTGATATCATACTATGTTTTGT